AATTTAGCACCGGACACCGCCGACATCTAGCTGCACGCGTAGCTATGACAACGGAAGTACACAGAAAACCTAATATCTGGGCAAAGCAACATGGCTGCTTTAAAGTATTTACTTAAATTAATGAAAATAGAGGGACTAAATAAATAAATAAATAAATAATAGTCACTGGGAAACGTAGCTCAACAACTTGACTAATAAAAATGGAAATTAAAGCTGACATTGCACCCCAAATAGACTGGCAAGAAAACCCAATTCGTAAATCGAATTAAACTAGGGTTTCTAATTACAAAAATAAAAATAAAAAAGGAAACGTGCATGAATACAGTCCATTCATTTTCATACTTAAGAAATGATACTTTAATGTAATAGACACATTGGTTGTAGTGTTATATGAGGGGACCACATTTATTAGTGTACCCATTATCAACTAACCTCATTTCTAGGGTTTTAGTTCGTCAAAACTCAAAAGCCTTTGTTTTCCCAAAAAAGAAAGAGTAGTGTATATATATATATATATATATATATATATATATATATATATATATATATATATATATATATATATATTTCGGTTTATACTATGTTACTTTGAGTGAAATACACCGGGTAAATCGTTGTTTATAAACATAGACACACACACACATCCATATAGGTGTATGTAGATCAATGGTAAAAAAACACCCGTAAAATAACCAATATAGTTCTTTATTCAACTAATTAATTAATATCACTTTTACAAGTCTCATTTAATTTAATTAAACTTTTAGAGTTTGTGGTCTCCAAAAGTAGGTTGATCATGTACTAGCTGCACAAAGTGACATATATACATTCATTATGCCATAATAATTATTAGGCTTTCTTTAGCAATACAATGTTCAAATTGCATAAATTCATGTTTTTTCTCTATTGTAATTGTTTCAATCACCCTGAAACGGATTTTAAGAGGAATTGCAAAGTGTTATTAGAGGTCTATAAGAGTCCTTTCATTAGACCATATGATACGTTAACAACCACTATAAACCAAAAAAAAAGGAAAAATAATTGATGTACGACCAATTA